GTAGTATATTTCTCTGTTTTCTGATACGTAAAAATCCTCCTGAATTTACTTGTTTTCATTATATATCTTAATGGTCTACATTTTGATGACCTTCCCTATCATTTTCCTCCATATTTTTGTCAGTATAGTTCAACTACATTTCATCTGACATCAATACATTCTTTCAATGTCATGTCAGCTATAAACTCTTTAAGAAGGCTGGGGGGTCAACAAATTAACCATCGGATATAACTTAATTTTTTTAGATAGATATCTTAAGCTGTCAATTATCATTTGGCAAACAAAAATTTCATACGTTTTAGTTTTGAAATTTGATCATTTTTGTATATCTTTATATGGAGCTCTTCTTCTATAGGCGATCAATATAGTCTGAAAATGGCCACAACCACCCAGCCCTCTTAATAACCGAATGTCATCAACAAAAGTTTACATACTTATTCCCTTACCTATTCTGATTTGTGCCTTAAGATTTATTGCAGTTATATAAAATACTTTGTAAAATGTTAAGATAAACACAACGTTAGGTTTTGTCTTTCGATGCACGGTAAAAACGTGGTAATGACATTTCTTTTCGGCACTAATTCTCAATTCATCCGCATTCTTATTAAAAATTTCACGTTTTATTATAATATTTAACTTCATAAATATTTTAAAATTATTTGAACTTTGTCCAATTGTTATTTCTGAATTAATTCTTTTCTGTGTAAATCTTAGTTACTGATGAACTGAAAATGATGACTGAAGAGAAAGGACATCGGTACATTCTAGCTGTGCGGTGAAAGACGAGATCATTTGTTGTTTTTATGTTAATATTTTAAAAAGTACTACATATATCTGAATGAAATTTTAAGGCAAAAAACAAACGTGTTCTGTAATTTTTTTTCTGCAATAGCTGCGACGCTAATTCTCAAATTTACAAAGAAAGAAAGAAATTTTATTGTTCATGTTTATATCTATATAAAATTATTCAAAGAAAAATTAAATACATTGTATGTTAAATATAGTATTTTTGATGTGTTTGTCATTGTATGCATAAGTGATGGAAGAGCCGTTGTTCAAGCTGTCTATGCAGGTCGCTTGCTTGTGTCGTTTACTGTCTGATAAATGGCAATGGTTTTCAAAAGAAATAAAGAAAACAATATTCAGTGGATGTAAATATTAAGTTATGCTGTCCATTCATTTTTCAGGTTTATATTCCCTTGATGTATATTCCAAAAATGGTCAAGATCTATTATGTGTATGCTCTTGCAAAAAGGTGAATTAAAGGGGCACCTTGTCGAAAAGCATGTCAACTCTATTGTATTCTATCGTGTTTTTATGTACATGTTATACATCAAAACATGATATAATAAATTCAGTGCATTCTCTTTATAATAATTAAACAATGACACTAAAATTAGGTTTGGTATTGGTATCAATCGTTTATCTTACCTTTGTAAACAGCTTTTTTTAAAAAATAAAATGCATTTTTTTTTTAACTAAGGAATGTAATTATCCGCCTCTCACTGCAGTTAAAAGCATCAAACTTTACCATGATGACGTGATGTGGATAAGTGTGATCAGTGACTTGTTTACACCTTCATGTGTTTGATTTAATACTGGCGAAAAAGAAATGAATAAAGTAGTAAGTTTTGATGTGGTTCATTACTCTTTTAGACTTTAAAATAGCACATCATTTCATGTTCTGGTATTGTGAGGAATGGCTATTTTTGGGTGATGTCACAGTAAATACGTGGGGTAGAAAAAGGCCCGGCCTGAGTTCACATCTATGATGCACCATATGGGAAGTTTCTTTTTGACGTCATTTAAAATTTAACAAGCGACAAAAAATCTATTTAACCACATGATGATGTCTCAATAACAACTTGCATTCATTTATTTTATCAATTATATATAAAAGCATGCACAACCACAACATTTGATAACATTACTGCTTAGTTATGAGAAGCAAATCTTGTGTCATAAATGACGTCACTAGCCTTGACTTGATGCAGTACAAGTTATCTAGAGGAGTGGATCCATTGGTTTAAAAATAACAAACATGCTTAAATAAATATAAAACCATCCCCAATGTTTAAATACAATCAATAAAATTAAAAGGAAATAATTTATTTAAAACAGTATTGTAGATTATTAATTTATCTAGGTGCTATAGAGCTGCAGAAAGCCAGAGAATGTAAAGAATATCGCTAACACGATAAGTGTATACCTGATTAACCTCAAAAGTGCAAGAGCATAGACTAGACTGTTTGAGCTGAAATATGGAATATCATTTGCTTATATCATGTATATTCTAAAGTGCTGGGAGCTGATTCTGGTCGACGTTTTATTTTTATTCATGACAGATTTTAAGCGAAGTAAAAATTACGAGTATTTCCGAAACAGCCCCGTCTAGCTCCCAGCACTTTTCGCGAAGCTGATGTAAATCTTTTTTAATATGTATTATTTTTTTTCTCCAAAAACATTTGTATGCCCTTGCACTAGCCTCATTTTCTACATCCAGCTGTACGATTCTATTTTTATACAAGTCACGTGACACACAGCTGATACATGCAATGTAACTGATACCGAGTAAGCCACAAACCTATCAATAATGGATATCTATTAAGAATGTACTAGAATTGCATTTTCCATTTCCTTCCTTAACATACATGTAGCTGAGTATTATAAATGAGGTAATCAATCATAGATTTTGTACTAGAACAATAAAAAAGAAAAATCCAAAAGCTGGGATACAAACAGAGGGTTGCCAGGAAAAAAGTCGCTATTCGCGAGGTCAACAAAAACGCTCGCTGTACGCAAGTGAGTTAAGGCTAGGTATAGGCATTTCTATGCAAATAAACTTATAAAAATGTCTAAGAACTATATCTATTATACAGAGAAACTTCAAAACTTACTGTCTAATTCATACTTGGTACCCACGACATGAGATAGCCAGTACACATTAAGAGGTCATATTATAACGTCATTGTTCTTTACTACACAGGATTATAAAGGACATCAACAAAAATGCTTCGGCGCAAGGGCGTGCTCTATTCTATTTTACTGAAACAAGGTATGTTTAGAAGCAAACTATTTCAAAGATTGCTGGTATTGCTGCACAAATATCAACAGGTTAGTTGTTTAATTACTATTTGTAAAGTTTTAAGTTGAATCAGGTAAAAACTTTAAAGTCCGGTATAAGTTTTCAAAATTCCGATCAAATGACAAAAATGTATAGGATTTTTGCAATAGTTTTATTAATCTTTTAAAAATTCTTCATAGAACAATACAATTTTTATGTAAAGTTAGATTATGTAATCCCTTGCATCGAAGCTGTTTTGTTGATGTGTTTTATTTCCTCCAGTAGGTATGAACAATGGTGTCATAATATGACGTCATAATATGTAATGGCTAAAACATATCGAGGGTACTAAGTATATATAAGAAAATAAATCAAGAGATTCTCTTAATAATAAATATACCTCTAACACATTTTTATTAGCCCATTTGCATAGCAATGCCTATACCTAGCCCTAACTCACATGCATAAGTGGTGCAATGAGAGAAAAAATTGTATTGTTGATCGTAAATGGAATAAATGGATGTTTAGTGATGAAAACCAGATAAGAATTGGGAAAAATTTTTATTAATTGGGAAAAAAAGTTTATAAATGGAGAAAGAATTTAGTAAAAGAATACATCGCCAATTACAACATATTTTTAACATCATGGCCTGTCCAGTCTCCTGACCTCAATATTATCGAGAACAATTGGTTAAGAATAAAAAGAACAATGGAAACCCGTGTCAAATTCATTAACACAAAAGATCAGCTTAGGGCGGGGACTGCCTGAAAAAATGTTCCAACGTCCTAAATTGAGGACCTGTACAAGACAATTCCTGGCAGACTAAATGAAGTATTAAAGATGAAAGGCAATTTAACAAAGCATTGAGGTAAGATAGGCATATATTAAGTGTTTAACAGATCCCTAATATCAAGGTGTGCAATGTAAAAAGTACGATGGCCAGTTTGAAGTGGCGAATAATTATGTCCATTGACTTAGGTTAAAAGCCAATGTTAATGTAAAGAGGTCAAAACAATTGAGTCCAATGGAAGGTTTTGCCACAAAGAGTACATCTGTGAAATATAGAAGCTCTAACACTGCACCGATTACTCAGAATTTATTGCCAAGATTAAAGTTTTTATGTTGACAAACAGACAAATATAAAAGTTGGTCGTACTCTATGAATAAGGGAATGAGAGCAAAATGCTGGTACCCAAAGAAAAGGCATAGCTATAAAGTATACACATGTGAAATATGAAAGCCCTAGCATTAACCATTCATAATTTATGGCCAAGTTTAAAGTTTTTGAAGACAAACAGACAATTGGGCAAATTTAATGCTATATGCCCCCAAATCTTCGTTAACAAGGCAAACCTATTTCAAAAATAAATGGTTAATATATGAGTTGTTACTATAAATAGAATCCCTTGCTTCATTTTACACATTTTTAATGTGCATATTTTGTTTGAAAACCACACCAGATAAAATTAATCTTTGCAAGAGTTTAAAAAAAATGAGCCTTTGTTCACTTAAATGCCACCGCATATCTTTACATTAGATTTAAATACAGAAACAAACAATAGGACATACTTGAAAAGATGTCCTTCAAACCTGGACAAAGGACAGACCTGTTTCGAAAGTACCTTGTAAAATGAATGGTAACTTAGATGAATAGCTACTTGAAATACAATCTTTTGCTTCATTTTAAAAGGTACATATTTTTATTGTGCATGTATTATTTAAAAACCACACAGGATAAAATTAATCCTCACAAAAGAATGAGAAAAACATAAATGTTTTCTACACTTAAATACCACGGCATATCGGTTTATATATTTTTTGGAGTCTAATCTTTAAGGTCCTTAACTAAAAATACCTATAATTTAAGTCTAAGGATCTTTCATCGTTGTAAGAAAAACCAAGCCGTACATGAAACTTTTGATTGAAAGATAGGAGAGAGGTAAAAAGCTGTTGTGATTTTGTGCTCGACATTATGTGCTCAAGGGTGTTCTTAAACGAAAAGCAGATGGGATTTTGTGTCTGTTTGTTCGTGTTTTTGGTTACATTTGTAGTATCATCGACTGAAGTTAGCAGACCAAACCTAACCAGACAATTTAACAGTAAATTCAATCGATTAAAAAGGGTAATTTTTTACAATCATTTTTCTATCATTTAATTTTTACATCGTAAATTTCTAAAATCCTTTTGTATAATTCTTTAAAGATATCAAACTGTTTTTGAGAATCCAGGGGCAGATTTGGGATTTTAGGTTTGAGAAAATGGGAAGGGGGGGGGGGGGTTTACACGAAATTTCAGAAACTAAAAATATGAAAATGCATCGTAAGGATCTTTTAGATTTCTTAATTCTAAAATTAAAAAATAAACACAAATTAAGGAACTTTACTTTATTGAATTTATTTTTAGTAGGGATAAAAAGGAATAGTTGACTATTCGACTATCAGTCGAAAGGATCGACGACCGAATAATGTAATGAAATTCGAATATTATTTTTGAATAAATGCAATAAAAGAGTGATAACGAGATGTAATTTTTATTTCAATATTGAAGAACCGTCTTTCCTCAGAGACAGTCGATAAGAAATTTTTTCTCAACAAAAAGCTGTTTCCATGCACATTTAGAAAGTGCAGTGATTATAAGTGCTTCGCCATCGCGAGAACCTTTTGTCATTTACCGCCTGTGTGGTTTTTGTAAGAAATTATCCATCAATGTACTGGGTTCTGTTTGTAAAATTATTAATTGGAGTAGATCTTATAACATAAAACAATTATTTTTTTATATTCTAAGATTGTTCAAATGCAAACATCATAGCCATGACATATTTTGATACTTCGATAATTACTTACACAATTCGCTTACATTTGAATTTGATTTTGATAGCCGGAGCAATACACAATTGAATAAGCAGTATCTTACTGTTGACAATGTAACAGGCATCGGACTTGTGGATTGTGTGAGATTACCCCCATCCCCCCCCCCCCAATTTATTTCACAATAACCTGTAAAATATATCGGCTGGCAATTTTTTAATGCTTACTTAAATAAAAGAAATACCAGCCAGATTTATGAATTTGATTGACAGGTAAATCATACATTCTAGAGCTATCTTCACGTTGCATTAATTGAAATGTTAAGTTTTAAATAGATTTAGGCAAAAAGGTTTTTGAGTTGTAAATAACTCATGTTTTAGTGAAGATTGAAATAAAATTTTATTTTCAGAAAATGTTCCGAATGTGCGACTATCACTCGAATAATGCAATCGATTAATCGACGATGGAAAATGAATATCTTGACGTCCCTAATTTTTAGGGAACAGATTAAGTAGCTTAATAATTTATATCCTTTGCCTTCATTGCAAAATCTAAAGAAATATTTCGTTAATCATATTTTTATTTACAAATTTAACGGTTTCATTTATTCAATAGAATTTCAAGATAGCCATTTCGAGCGAAATGAGTTGTAAGAAAATTAACAACATGATGTTATGTATAAAAGGAAATTTATCTTTAAAAAATCTGTTGATCAAATAAAATATGAAGATAACGAATGTAATCGAAGTCAAATGTTCTTTAAAACAATAAAAATTTGGAGCAGAGAAAATACAGACCTCTAAAAAAAACCCATAGGAATTAAGAACAGGTGCCATTGAGGAGTAACCATTCCCTGTCGACCGGTCATATCCATTATAAGCCCCTTGTCATGATTGGGCAAACTGAAATATCCGTAGAGAATTTAGTGAAAATAATTGCCTAACAATTTGCATGAAAAAAGTCAGTCAACATTAGCCTTAATGATAGTGAATTAAAGTATTAATAAATATGTAATTTTCTTTCTGTCAATTCTAAATGTCATTTTTGTCAATTAGAAGAGATATTATTTGTAAAAAATTACCAGTATCTATGATATTTCAAAGACATTAATACACTCAATCCTCAAGAAAACTCTAAGGTATATGAAAACGCATCATTGTTAACGGAAGCATAGTTTAATTCTCCCTGTGATGTTAATTATATTGAGTAAACTTTTACTTTCTGTTAATATCTAGTTTTCAACAAAGTATCGTTTTCCTGTCAATGAGATGGATTCCTGTCCTACAACTAACTTCTCATGGTACAGAGCAGGTTCCCGATTAAACTGTTCTCATGACGCCAACAAAAGACTCCAATACCTGTGCATTCCCAACCAGGAAAAGACAGCTCTAATCGAATTTTGTTATGATCATATAATGGGTCTTTTTGAAAAGGGTATTTATTGTATAATATTATTCTGTTTATTGAATATGCTGCTTTCAAAGTTTCATATGAAATTATAATGATTTTTTTAACTCAATGTAAGATAACAGGTACATTATATTTTTCTCATGCAAATTTAAAATATTACTTGATGAAATTTTCCAAAACTCTATTTCATTCCATGTATATTTAATTTACCTATTAAAAAATTATATTGAAATCAAGTTGCTAGTTGCTAATATGTAAAGTGTTACTTTCTAAAAATGTGAATAAAAAATATGGAACGGATAAAGCAAAGTAGAATTTTTTTCATAGTAATCTGTAAGTAAGTAATATTGTCAAGTAATATTATAGGATATTGTCTACATCTGTCAACATCTGGTTTCGTGAATCAAGAGGACTGTAGTATGTTTAACAAGGGATGTCCAGGGACACATTTCTTCAGTAGCAACATTTTCCAATGTAAGGATGATCATTTTTTTTTTATAAATATGTGATATTTGCTACATTGTAAACTTAATTTCTTTATAATATTGTTTTACCACTTTTAGTCCCTAAATGCTTGGAAATAAACCGGGACCTGAGATGCTTTATGGCAGATCAAAGTTGCCATGCGATGTATGTTATTTTTAATAAAATACTGCGTCATATCTTGTACGTGCAGAAGGTGGGTATTTAACCCTAACAAGGTTCTTTGGATTTAGATTTATGCAGCGAACAAAGATGTAATTTGAATATACTGGCATACGCCTCTGTAGAAAAAGCACATTATCCATTCTATACATTATCAAAAGATATAATCGCTACCCTGTGTTGATGGATTTTCGAACAAAAAAAATAAATAAAAGATCCAAATTAAAGATGTAGCTTTTTACGTTGATTTATTAATCATACGCCCTACTCACAATGTACGTTGTTTGTAAGGTTAAATAAGACTGTTCGTTATCACTGTTTGTTATCTTCACCTGTTTTATTCAAAAGATATCCTGGTCTAAGTATCTTGTAAGACAAGTCCGTCCCCAAAAAACCTTTATTTCAGATAAGCAATTCTGATGATTTAATCATCACCAAAACATTTAAAATTTATTGTTTTTAGCAGCTAGATCTGGGCTTACATGTAATTGAAGCCGTATCTGTCGATTAGAAAAAAGAGCTTTATACATAAAAAAGCGGTTTATACATAAAAAAGAGCTTTATATATAAAAAGAAGAGCTTTATACATAAAAAAGAGCTTTATACATGATATAGAAAGGTTAATATATCGTCATCTTTTATGATTAGCCAATACAGAGAAATATTCTATCGCATTCTTAAAAACACTAAGCTTTTTAAATTCTAGGTGTGCTCTACGGGTCCCCTAAGCATTACCAACACTATAAATACCCATGTCCTAAAGTTATAGATCTTAAGATGGCACCTAAGTCATACTAATGATACTACTTCAGTCAAAAACGTGGCAAACTTTACATGTATGTTACGAGCACCTGGATACTCATATGTATGCAGCAGAATACAATTGTATACGCTATCTTTGTATTATTGTAAGATATGTTTGCTTCTTTGTTTTTTGAATACATAACATTTCATTTATCATGTTACGTTTCGATGTTGTGGTCATTAGCTGAAAAAAAAGTGTGGACATCGTTGGATCTTTTACCAAAACTTGGAGCTGTTTGGCCACATTCCCAGATCTCTCAGTGACCATTTAGTTAATTGAAATCTGTAATTTGAAACGTAGTTTCCTGTGAAACGTTTTCAGTAAAGTTGATTAATTTATGGACCTAGTATTTGTGTACCAAAAAAAAAATATTCACTGTAAAATATACTAGATAAAATGTGAAATAAAATTAATAACAGCTAAGTTTTTAAAGAGATTTAGGTAAACTCTCTTCGGCTTGACGTAATTTTCTGTGTGAAAGGGAATATATAAAAATGGCTTTTGTCGCAGGAATTAGTTTTCACAATACTTTCATTTGTTTGGTTGTTAATGCACGCGAACACGATTGGCGCAGTGGGTCAGAGTTTTCCTATACAATTTTCTTCAAATGTGTGGCACGTCATACTATAAAAAAGATTTTTGGATTTACATGTCATGGTGAAGTTACGTTAAGGTCAATTATTTTTATATATATCTAACAATAAATATTTCCTTTTTTTGAACAATAGTGAAATATCAGAACCTCACAATAAATTGAGCATTTTTTTTTTATTTTTCCCCAGTTCCAACTACAGCGCTAGCAAGCCCAACAACTTGGTTTGTGACGACACATCTGGAAACTGCATTTATACCACCCTAATGCCTAAACCTGCACCAAAGGATGAATCTTATTTGGGGTATATTAGTGCTGTCGTTGTAATTTGTATTTGCGTCATCGCTTTTTTAATTTATCATTGCAAAGAACGAAGGAATATTCTATGACGTGAGTATTTTCGCTATTCTTATTCTTTAAACACCTGCAAAGGATACTAATGAAATTATAGCAATTTTAAAAACTTTCTTTAAACGATGGATTTTAATAAATGAATCCAACACTAATTGTAAATGTTCTCTAGGAAGAACACTATCCTTAAGCTTTGTTATTTAAGATTTTTCAAAACGTCTCAGGCTTACTCAAGGAAAAACATTTTTCTCAATAGAGAAGTCGTTGTTATCACAGGTAGTTTATACTCTTTTTGCATGTATGCTTATTGCATAAAGTTGATGAGATAAAGTTTTGTAATTAGTTGGTCATATTGTCTATAGTCAGTAAAACATCTAAATTGAATACTAAAGAAAAGTATGATGACCAAAGCATTATTTATTATCATAAATTGTACTATTAGACAAAATAAGTTAATGTACTTATACTTCATGTACTAAATTATAAGATATTTTGTCAAGGCAAAAAGAACTGCGAACGATAGCATTGTTCTCCCGCCTACCTCCAAGTCAATTTTGAAAAGTTAACATATATGAATGATTTTTCATATTTATATAGATATTTATATGAATTTCCATAATACATTACTTCTTTGGGAAAATAAAGAGAGGTAACTCTATAATTTGGGTAAAACTTGTGTTTTTTACTATAGAAATCAACGGAAAACGGAAAATATTTTTACAACATCCCCCCCCCCCCGTGAAACAAAATTTCCTTTTTACAGGTAATATAAACTGTCATTTCACAAATTCATACCAAAGCTTTTTGTTTCACGGGGGGGGGGGGGGGGGGGAAGGGGGCATATATTTACAGACAAAAAAACTACACAAATACTTATTTTCCCACCGATTTCAAAGGATTTTACAACTAAAACATTGTATTTTATCAATAATATATGTTTAATTTTATATGCGTAAAACATAAGAAAAGATTTAAGGAACATTTATTCATATCCAAGAATATTTTAAAATGTGTTGATGCTTGAAAGCCCGATTTCAATGGAAAATATCGTCTACCTCTCTTATTCAAAGAGCTGGGATTAGGGGTAATTAACTATTTAACACTGGCATTAATATTATCAGTCAATTACCATTGAACTGTCCTTTGCATTCAACAAAGAATTTGCGGCCAAATTGCCATTGGTATTGAATTAAATCGGTGTAAAATGTAGGCGGGAATGGAGAGTTAGCGTGCGTAGTTCTTTTTGCATAAATACAGTGTTTGTCGCGCTGGTATATGCAGTAATAATGAAAAGACCGGAAATAAATTTTACGCTCAATTCAAGCCGGACAATTTAGGCAAGCTACATGCATCTATGAATATACAAGATATACACGGAAACTATTAATAAATGTTAATACATTTCTAGCGCAAAATTCTGAACTTTAAGACTAAACTCGATTCGTAAAAGCAATATAGTAATCTTGTCTGATATATTAGTTTTCTCAAGTATGTCGTGTTCCAACCGCTATATAAGCCTTTTTTTGTTCACAGTTCAATGTATTTCGCTTCAGGGATTCTATATGAGCACACGTCTCCGTCATTATGATGTACTTGGGCGCGACAAAATGACTTCCGTATTCCTCTGCCACCTCAAGAAAAAAAAGTTATGAAAAGCTATTCGATGTCGCCGTTAAATGGTAGTTAAGTATCATTCTGTCGTATTACTTAAAGGAGGTTCGGGGCAGGGAAGTGCGTTGTGGTAGCTAATGACTAATTCTGCTCTAAACTTGTTGTCTCCTCCCACCTGCAACTAAAGCAGGTGGTGTGTGTTATGTTTACCCAAAAGTTCGTCAAAAAGTAAATAAGCAAAGGGTCAGTATTTAAATGCAAGTGCGATTAGCGAGAGTTAACAGAATGCTTAGAAGGTATTCATGGTCCCCGGTTTAAAAGAAAAAAAATTACCCCTGTCCGTATTTCTTTCTGTTGACCAATGAACCCCAACATGACACAACCCTTCGTTGATAGTAATAGTAATGTATTAACAGACTCAGTCTCCACTGCAGCACAGCAGGAGTTTAATTCTATAAGCTTTTTTTACGTATCTATTTAATTTGTTCGAGTTTTGTTGCCAATACTTTAAAAATTATAAGTACTATGTTACAACATGATTTTTTTCTTTCTTTCGACGGGATACATTTATGTATATCATTATTATTTTGAATTTCTTTCATCATTCAAATAATCATATTTTTTTAGGTTTTGAAACTGGAATTGAATAGTCACGTGAGATTTGGATTATCCTTCCAATGACAATATTTTAAGGAAAACAGAAAACATAGGAGTAATCTTATGCAGTTTGACAGATGAAGATGTTGAGAAACACGAGCAAAACTTCAAAGACCTCTCATTATTGGAGAAAGGAATGCAGTTCATTTATGTGAATATCAGTCCTCCTTCATTAGAAAACTTTACTCTAAATATGACGGCATGGAATAAAATTATTGATAGGATATTAATTACAAATAAGTATGCGTATAGATATTATCTATCATACCCTGAGGATATTGATATATTTACCCTGGGTTTGATGAAACAAAATACTCGGATTTTAAATCTAATTTTACGTATAAAAAATATAGCAGACTGTCATAAAGACACATTATTGATTCAATTAAATAACTACTTATTTAAAATCTACAATTATACGTCAAATGGGTTTTAGGCCATCGTTATTTCGAAGATCAGGAATGGAAAGAACTTTTGTTTTTTCATTGCTTATATATCTATTGGTTATGAATTCCATTGTTTTAATGGATCTGAAAAATCCTTTCCTTTCACAGTTAGAAGTTGTTCTAATATATATATATATATATATATATATATATATATATATATATATATATATATATATATATATATATATATATATATATATATATACATGTATATACCCGATGTTGTCTTTGTATGAGAAAAAGATATTGACTGAGAGAGAAATCGAGGTGTGCATTTAATCACAACTCGTCGTTTTTATTCCGTATTTTCTTTCAAACAGGAGACCTCAAACCATAGTTTTAAATTCAAAGAATTGATGATGAGGTTCGCTCCTGAGCTTTTGAGCCGATTTATGTCTTAACCTATATTTAAAAAAATCTGCATAAAGTTTTAATTCTTACAATAATTTTGGATTCTACAATGCCAATTAAACTATATTCAGTTAAAACTCCATGATTAAATTCCATACCAAAAGCATTTAGTAAGGAACTATATTTTGTAGCGGAAGGTTTTTTTTAGAAGAAAATGATCATTTTTTCTCTTTTGAAGTATTTAAAGTATGTTAAATTTGGATTCCTATTTTTACATGTAGTCTGCACACAGAGTTATTGCAGTGAACTGTTTTATACTGGTCCTAAATTAGGTATTAAATAAACTGTCATGAATTCTATCATCATATTTGATAAATATAGCGAATATATTGTGGAAATCAAGAAAAAAATATCCCTATTTTAAGCTTAAAATTAACACTATTTTAGTAATATCTAAAAATTAACATCACAGACCCCCAATTTTTAATTTTATTTTCTGAATATATATGATACTTTTAACCTTTCTTCTTAAATTCAGTAAAATGTCATTACTTTCAAATGATATTTTTGCTTATTAAATTTTTAATGCCAGAAAAATGAAATTTTTTAAGTGCAAAAAGGTCAAATAATTGAACATGCGGAGTAATTTGAAATTTTTTTTCGTTGTCACAGATTTCAATGTGTCTATTCAAGATGAAATAAGACTGTGTTTGTTCCCATAATTTATTTGAATAAAAAATATTGGAGGAAAAACTTTAACAATTGATTTATGTGGAAGACGTTTTTACAGTGCAAAAAGGTCAAATTAAATGCTCTGTAGTGCCAAAAGAAGCGCATTGACCCCCATTTTTTGTTTTGATTTTTAATTAAACTATGTGTATAAATTCTAAACATATACTGATAAAAAATTCTCATTACTTTTAATGGCAGGATCCAACCTCCTTATTGGCTAAAAATCGTTTGATATTAATACATTTCTGACGTGACGTTGAGGTTTTTCGAGAACAATGCTGACTTAGACGAAAATTTAAATTGTTAATAAACGTATAAATCAAATGTGAACCAATTTTAATGAAAACGAAAAAAGCTCAATAGAGAGGTTTCGCAAACAAAAGGTGTACTTGTACTGTACGTGTAACGGGATAAATCTGTGCATTACGTCATCACTTTTGCTAATGTTGAAATTCTACACGTATTTACATACATGTAGATCGCAAAGTACCCGTAGATGAAACCTTGTATCTTATTTTTCCTAAATTGTTGTTTATTTCAATCAAAGTGCGCGTTTTTGTAAACCCTGAAGATTGAGTGCAAGTGATGATTTAAGGAAGTTATGTTTTTATGGTAAATTATTTATTAAGCGATTCTGACTTTCAAAAAATAATTTTACGATTCAAAACTATAAAACCTAATCAACCTCAAACCTAATTTTTAGTTGTTTTTTTTTTTTCATAAATACTTGCATATATTCAATTAAAATAGTTATGTACTTAAGATTAAAGTGGATTAACCTACCAAAGAATGAAATTATCCGAAGATAAAAACTTAAAGCATTCATTTCTAAACAAGAAAAGTGATATAAAGGCGAATGAACAATTCTAACTTGTACTTACACGTACATGTACATGCTGGTCTGCAAAACATCTGTAATGAATTATTTTTGAATATAATAAACCAGATTGTCTTGTTTAATGTTGCAAAGTTTTTTGTCATTGTTTTTGTGGCTGATGTTACGAAATGAATCGTGACTGTTCATTCACCTTGATAAATGTAAATAAAGAAATACTGATGTTGCGCATGTGCGTACGCCAGAAAATAAAAGAAAAAAAAAAACTCGAAGAAAATAGAAATAAAAAAGCCCGTATGTAAAAGATAAAATCAATATTTTTTATTAATCTCGCAGCACAGTAAAGCTGCCCAATGGAAATATCGGTGGCTTTTTTGTGATAAAGAATACATTCTTAATCGTAATGTCGATCCTTTAATTATAGTATTTTGCTAAAATTAGCCAAACACTCAAAGAGCTTATGCTATGGCCATTGTGTGGTATTAGTAAACTTTTTAGAATATTGGCCATAACTCACACTACTAATTCAGAAACGTACTGACATTCCCATTTTTTTACTGACAGACTTAGACACTTACTCACAATTTGCAGCCCTTTTTACAAAACTTAGACAATTACTGACCTTTTTACTGCTGGTGCTTATTTTGACTTAGTAGTTTCAAGAACCCCTTGGACCAGTTATTGTCGAATTTGTTACAAAGTATCCTTAATGGCCCAAGTTCTCCAATTTGTACTAAAACTAGGGTTGTGACCCTGAAACAAGGGGGTATAATTAGGTAAATAAAACCAAAAGTATTGGTTGCTAAAAAAAAAATCTTCTCAAAAACCAGTGGGCAGATTATCACCAAACTTTCAAGCAAGGATGAGGATATGTTGAAGATTAAAAATTGTTCAAGGCATCACCCTGGGGAAAGGGCGTGGCCTCAAGGTCACTTCATATTTGACAAAAATTACATTTTATTAAAACATTGATAGTTTGCTTACTATAAGGACTAGGATATCAAATCTTGTCAGTTGATGCATCTCAGGTCGTCATATCATGTTGATTAGAAAGTAGGTCACGTTGACCTTCTTTTTTTTTCAATTTTGCTGGCATTCTATTTCAAATTAATTTTGAGGCATATTTTGGACACTTTAAAGCCTATGATTATCAAACTTTTTCAGTTGATTCATTTTGGGTCTTAAAAGTACGCTAACTGAAAAGTAGGTCACTGTGTCCTACCTTTTGAATTTTATGGCTAATCTTTTCCAAATATTTAAGTGTCATTATTTCAAATGCTGAAAAGTGTAGAATCATCAAACCTTTTAAATTGATGCATGTTAGGGCCTAAAACGTATTTATAAAAAAGTAGGTCATCCTGACCTACTTTTTGAATTTTGCAGGCATTCGTTTTCAAATTGTTTTAGAGGCATATTTTGGACTCTATCAGACCTATGATCATCAATCTTTGTCAGTTGCTGCATTGTGGTCCTCGGAGAATATCAACGAAAAAGAAGGTCACCGTGACTAGTTTTGAAATTTAATGGCTATATTTAAATATCTCAGATACTTATTAGCTTAGAATCATTAAACTTTGTCATTTGATGCATCTTGGGTCTTCAAAGAACGTCAACCAAAAAGTAGGTCACGGTGACCTACTTTTGAAATTTTATGGCTATATTTAAATATTTCAGGTCCTAATGGGCCTCGAATCATCGAAATTTGACAATTGATGCATCTTGAATCCTCGGGAAATGTCAACCAAAATGTGGGTCACGGTGACTCATACCGGACATTTTCTTAATAAACTCTTTAAAATATTCTTTGAAATTAAATCTGATCTAAAATAAGTATGAAAATTTAAATGTGTGGTACATTTACGTGTACTTTCAACAAGATAAAAAAATGTATTTAAATAGACACAGACGGTTTTTGAGTATGTTAACTTTTTTCCAATCATTTCTATTATATAATCTTATGAATAATTTCCATGCCAATTTTCATTTTTTTAAAAAAAAAAAAATACGTATGTACAAAATAATGCTTTGTAATGCTTTTTAATGCCAGCATTACTCTGGATTTGAAAAAGTAATGCATTACATTACCATCACATGTAATGCAATTTTTTGGCGTTACAATTACTAGTATTACTTCGAGTTCAAGTAATGTATTGCAATGCATTACCATTACATCTAGCATTACCCCAAACCTGGTGGGTCGACAATGAGCAATTAAAATTTTACATAGAAATGCATGGGAAAAAAAATCTTTAAAATTCTTCTGTTTAAGAACAGGAAAGCCATGATTAATAATATTGATATAGAAGCATCCTGATGTAGTGTAAATTTTAGCTCCCCCCCCCCCACCCCACTCTAAAATCTTTTCAATCAGCTCCTCCCTAGCCAGTGTGCTCAGGTGAGCAATATGCCCGACGGGACTCTTGTGTAAAAGCTTATTATTATCCACTGAATGTATGCCCTTGCACTAGAATGAATTATTAAGACCTTTACACTACCCTTCAATGAACATGCATACAAATACACGACAGTATCAGATAACTAGGAAATGTACGGAAAATATATGAATAAAATCATAAAATGACATTGCCTCCAAGTTAATGGCCCCTTGTTATCTGCAAATAATATTTTATTTAATTATAAAATACATTTCTTCGTTGTGAAAATGTTACTTGACCCGCCCTTCACTGCATACAAACTGCGTCAAGTTTTACTAAATGACATTATATAAACAAGTGCACCCCGATCGGCGACTTGGTAATACCTTGCTATGTGGGATTAAACAAACGACAAAAAGCTTGTTGTATTAAGTTTAATTATATTTGAATTTTATAGTACAGTTTAAATTTCAAATCAACAATTTTGAGGTATTCTAAAGAATTGTTAGATTTGTTTGATGTCATAGTCAAAGTCATATACAGCTGATATATGGCGTATTTTTTATAAGTTCAGACCAACTAAAATTAAAAAGATCTTTCTATTTTTTTTTATTTCTTTGTATAAAGATAGGACTTTCCTGTAAATTATACAATATAAATCAATCGCGTTTCAAAGATATTGAAAATTTTAAACAACAACAGATTTATTTTCCGACTTCGCATT